GTCGGGGGAGTGTCAGGGGCATGAGGTGGACTGGGGAGGGGTCCGGCTTCGGGGGGGGATGTCAGGGGAAGTGAGGTGGACCGGGGAAGAGTCCAGCGTCTGGGGTGTCAGGGGCAGTGGGCGACTTCAGAGTGCCCCTCGTGTGCTGGACAGACACTGCCGGGGCCTGGTGGAAAGCTCTAGTATTCAGACTCTTTCGGTCCCAGACGGCACTGCCCGCCTGTGCACGGCTCTCTACCTGGACAGGTATCCCTGGGCACTGAAGTAGGAGGAGGTCTCCGTGGCATCAGCTGCAGTTTCATAGTCTGTGCTGGTCACTAGAAAAGGAAGAGTGGCTGCCGTGAGGCTGGTGCCCCACTTGCGTGGGCGCCCCCCCTACACCCTGGGGGCCAGCTACCCAGATGCCTCCCCCAGAGCCATCTGTGGAAATCCCAACCCCAACATGTGGCTGTCAGGAGTGGAGCCTTTGGGAGGTAATCAGGGTTAAAGGGGCTCCTGCGGGGAAGCCCCCAGGACCAGACGGGTGCCCTGAGGATGGGTGACCCCAGGTGAGGACCCTGTGGGAAGACCACATCTGCTGCCAGAAGATGGTCTCCCTGGCACCCTGAGCCCAGACGCAGGCCTCCAGTGCGGCCTCCAGAGCCCTGAGTAGATGATGTTCCAGCCACCTGCTCCGTGGTCCTGTTAAAGCTCCCTGGACCCAGATACCCTCCTCCATCCATATCCTGCCCCTGCACACAGTACGTTTGTGACAGTGGAATTTCTAGCAAGAAGCGTGGCCCAGGTTCCCAGCACAGAGCCCCTAAAACCTTTGGAGTTCCCAGTGCTGAGAGGCACGAAGGTGTCTTTTGTTACATAAAGAACTGACTTTGCAAAGCCCCTCAGGGTGGAGGCTGGTGGCCAGGGGACCCAACCCTGGACCCGAGGGTAGGAAGTGTCAGTTCCACCCCCTTACCTAGGGGGCAGGGAGAGAGATGGAGGTAGGATCCATCACCCCTGACCAACGGCCCAGGACTGAATCCATCGGGCCCACGGAACAAAGCCCCCCACAAACCCCACAAGGCAGGGCCTGGTGAGCTTCTGGAGACCACATCAGATGTAGGGAGAGGGACACACTGGAGGGACACACAAGCCCCATGCCCCTGCCCCAAGCATGTCCTCCATTGGCTACTTCTGTGTCATGTCTTGTTACAATAAAGGGGTTAAAGGAAGAAGGAGAGTGTTTCCCTGAGCTCTGTGAGCCACTCAGCACGTGCGTAGAACCCCTCGAGGGACGGTGGGGACCTCGGGTCTGTCACGGGGGTCGGAGAGCGAGTGGGCCCCAGACTTGCAGTTGGGGTCTGCCGTGTGGTGGTGTGGGCCTGAAGCGTGACTGTGTGGGGGATGAGGCGGTCTCCCTCTGCGTGGGTGTATTGCTGATTGCGGGGAGCGGGGGGAGTGATGACTCTGTTGGTGGGGCTTGACGGGGACTCTGACTGGGTCTGATGCTGACTCTGGGGGGGGGTTCATGACGGGAACTCTGCGGGGGGGTGGTGATGCTGACTCCGTGGGGCCATGACCCTGACTCCCTGGGGGTGTGACACTGACTCCACGGGGTGTGGGGTATGATGCTCGCTCCGTGTGGGTCCAATGCTGACTGCCCATGGATGGGGTTCAGAGCTGAGTTCATTGAAGGACCCCCGCTGGCCTCAGAGAATTTCTTGTTGATTCCTTACAGACTGGAAACAATGATGAGCCCTGTGATTGCCCCAGCTTCCCGCCTTGAGTTTCCAGGTCCAGGAGGGGAAACTGAGGCAGAGCCAGGCATGCTGTCCTGGATGGTGAACGCTGCTGGGGTCCACAGGACAGAAGCCAGAGGAGAGAGCGGGCAGAGCACTGATTAGCACGTGCACGTGGGGGGACCAGTCATCTGAAGGGGCCATCAAAACAGTACGGGGATTCTGCGTTTCCAGTTGGACTGGGAACTTCCCCCATCTGTGGCATCAGGTCCTCAGGAAGGCCCTCCCCTCAGCAGAGGGAGGGGGTCAGCCCTAGATGGAGCCCCGCCTGCTCCCCATCCAAGAGGAAGACCTCAAGAAGATCAGAAATACAAAGTATCCCGCCCTGCCCCCGCGTGGCCCATCAGAGACACGGGGAGGCAGGAAAACATCCCCCAGTGGGTCACAACCAAGCCAGGAAGACGCACATGGAACTGGCAGAGGAGGACATCAAAGCAGGGAAGAGAACTGCGTCAACAGAGACCCCCAGCACGCGAAAGAAGACTTCAGGAGCCCTCGTAGGACAAACGATCCACCGATGGGACTGACGGCAGGTTAGCCATTCCCGGAGGACAGCGGAGTTGAGAGGACAGTGGTACAGACAACGTGAAATGGAATGCAGACACAAAGGTGGCCAGTGAGAAGGGCTGGCCCATGGTCACGCCCCTGCACACCACCTCACGCGCCTGCAACTGGAGTCCCCGATGAGGCGGGTAGGGAAGACGCTTGAGGAAATGACGGCCAAAACCACGTGCACACCTGACGACAACCAGAAACCCCAAATCCCGAGAAGCTCCGTGAACGGCAAGCACAGGCAAACACAGGATGGAGTCAGGACCCCAGTCATAAACCCATACATGTCAAGGGAGTCAGCTTTTGACCGGAGTTCCACACCAATTTCATGGAGGAAAACAGTCCCTTCTGTGAACGAAGCCGGAACAATGGCATTTCCCTGAGACCAGAATGAATTGGGCCCTTACTTTACACCACATACCCAAACTAAACCTACGTATAAGAGTCAAAACTATCAAACTCTTGGGGAAAAAGGGGTTGTAGATCTTTATACCGTTGGATGAAGCGACAGTCTTACGACGTGACAATAAAAGTACAAGCAGCTGAAGGAGAAGTACTGCGCTTCATCACGATTAGCAAGTCCCGTGCATCCAAAAACATCATCCAAAAAGTGGAAGGAAAATCCTCAGAATGGAAACAAAAATATGCGAAAGCCACATATGTGATAAGGGCATAATGCCCAGGTTATCTGAAGAACTCTGACTACTCAAAATCAAAGCCCAACTTGAAAATGGGCACAAGATCTGAGGAGACATGTCTCCAAAGAACAGACAAAAATACCCAATAAGCACATGAGAAGACGGGCAGCACCGTCCGTGAGGAGGGACATGCACAGTGCTCGGGGCAGCCAGTGCTGGAGAGATGAACGGCAACAGGTGCTGCTGGGGTGGGGCAGGGGGAGGGGGGGACCCCCACTACTGGGGGTATGCTCAGCGCAGCTTGCCAGTTCCTGCAAAGGGAGCCCCAGCGTGATCATATGGCTAAGCGATTCCACTCCTACCTGTGTGCCCGCAAGCAGGACACAGGTCCCCAAATACTAAGGCTTGTACACAGATAGACACGGCAGCATTACCGAGAAGAGCCACGCTGACCAGCGTGTTGCATCGGAAACGTGTGGATAAGCAGCCCACGTGCACACAGTGATTTTCCACCCGAGAAACAGGTGAAGCTTACAGTGTGCATGCCCTCCCGAACACAAGAGACCACGTAGCATAGGACTCCATTCGCGTGAAATGTCTGGAATGGGCAAAGCCACAGGGAGGGCAGGCAGTTCAGGGGTCTCCGGGGCCGGGGAAGGTGGGATGGGGCGACAGCTAGCTGACACAGGGTTTCTCCCTGGGACCCCGGGAATGTTCTGACACCAGATGGCAGCGAAGCTTGCACCACAGGACAAACATACTAACATCCCCTGAACTGTACGTTCTTAGCACATTTTATGTCAAGCAAGTATCTGAAATGTTTAAATACCAAGAGAAAAGGCAAGTTTTGCACAGAGAAAGATACGCATGGCCTCCTATTTCTCAGTGGAAACCATCCAAGAGAGTAGACGGCGAGCAGCACCTTTAAGATATGAGAAGAAGAAAAAAAATCGTCCTAGCGAAAACAGCTTTCCAAATCACAGGAGAAATACAGACATTGTTTCACACATACAAAAGCTGGAAGAATTCTAGCATTCCCAGATTACGTGTAAAAAGGTTGGAAGACATCCTTCAGGCATAAGGACAGCAATGCTGGAATCCAGATCGCCACTGCAGGATGAAATGCTCCTACTTTGGTAAACATACACAATTTCGTCTCGTTCCCGGGGGCTGGCTTCTGTGGGGCTCCGCTGATGATGCTGGCCACGTCCGTGGCCCTGTGTCCTGCTTGTGTCCGCTTTTTTTTTTTTTAACACTGTTCACCATTGAGTGTTGTTGTTGTTTTCAGATCAAGTTCTTTCCTAGATATGTGACGCAGATGCCTTCCCCCAGCCCACAGTCCCCCAACGTGGGGTCTTTCACAGAGCAGAAGTTTGTAACTTTGACCAATTTTCCCTTTTGTGCGTGTTGCTTCAGTTGTCAAATATAAGTAGTCTTTTCCTGGCCACAGCTCCTAAAGATCTCCTCTGATCTCTTTCCCGAAAGTCCCATAGTTTTGTATTTTCTATTTACATCTGTAATCCCTGTGAAGCTCATCTTTCTATTAGGCCGAGGTCCAATTTTTTGGCGGATAAACACCCGAATCCCTCCAGCGCTACTTGAGATTCTATCCCGGAATCTGACATCCTACCTTTCCTCCACTGAAATGCTCTTGTGCTCTTCTCAAAAACTAGGTGGACACACTCATCCTGAGCCTACCAGGAGTCACCGTGTTAGAATAAAACACACCTCCTGTCCCCTTGTCCCTCGGAGGGACTTGGGGGACTCAGGAACCGTGTGCTTGGCACCAAGGACGACCAAATCCATATTGCTTATTGTACCACAGCAAACCGCCACGCGTGCCGGGGGCCCTGTGACCTGTCCCAGACAGCCCCCAAGGAGGGAAGAGCCCCACCCCCAGCCTGGCCCCAAGACATGGAGCTTCCCAGTCCTCTCTGACCTGAAACCAGTGTTCTCCGGGTCCGCCTACAGCCCAGCACCACCCCCTCTCCTAGCTCCCACGGTGGCCCTGATCAGCCCCGCCTCCCGCACTCACGGTCCACGCGGAGCTCGGCCTTGGTGGACGACACGCCCACGCTGTTCTCAGCCACGCAGCGGTATACGCCCATGTCCGCGGGCACTACAGCTGTGATGATGAGCTGGTGACCGCCCTGCTGGTCCTCGCTGATCAGGTAGTGGTCGTCCTCCTCCAGCATCCGGCCGTCCTTGAACCAGCATACAGTGGGCACGGGCTGGCCAGTCACCACACAGTCGAAGCTCACGGGGTACCCGTCCAGCACCTCCTGGTTCTGCAGTTCAGTCAGGAACACCGGGGCTGCGAGGGGCAGGTGGGGCGTGCAGTGAGTGGCCCCCGCTTCTCCTCCAGCCACCCCAGCGGCCGGTGGCCCAGCGTGCGTCTCTTGCAGGCCCTGCCAGCTTCACCCCATTCTCTGGGAGGGTCCTTGACCTCCCTCCCGGCCTGGGTCTCAAACCATCGAGAGGCAGGGGATAAGAGACAGGAAATGGGGAGTCAGGGGAGGGGAGGGGAGACAAATACTGCGGCGGCTGAGGGTCCAGGGCTGCAAGCATGAGACGGTTTCCAGACCTGACGCCAGGGGCTATGAGTCACACCTCACTGTTGTTCCTAGGGACACGCAAGCCAACAGTGGAACAGCTTTAAAATTAACTTGGTTGTTCGAGCAGGCGAAGGGGGCCGTGGAACCCCACCTTTTTAGCCATCTATCCTAAACCCTGACGGAGCAAGAAACGCAAACCCTGGGAAGTCGGGATCCCTAGACCCGCTTCACAAAAGGGGACACTGAGGCCCGGAGGAGCTAGCTGGGATGGACAGTGAACTCTGCTGCCCCCGAATTCGGGGTCTTCCAGCTCTGTGGGCTGCATCTGCAGCGGCCAGAGGTGGGAGCCTGGCCAACTCCCCAAGTCTGCAGCCGCTGGGATCCTTCTTCTCCCCCGCCCCACCGGGGCAGCGGGCAGCGGGCAGCGGGCGGACTCACCGGCCTCCTCCACAGTCAGTGGGCAGGGCGCCATCGCCTGTGGTGCAGCAGGGGGCAGAGCCAGCTTGCTGATGCGCATCTCCACGCCCCTGGGCCCCTGCTCCGACAGGCTGATGTCCACCGAGATGCCCATGGTGCCGAACATCTCTCGGAAGCAGGTGGCCGCACGGTGGGCTTCGTCCAGGGACTCGAAGTGGATGTGGACGGAGTGCTGGTCCTCGCGGTACGTCTGCCGGTCTGCAGGCTCCTCGGGCTCTGCGGATCCCTCATCCGCGCTGAGGAAGATCTCTTCGTCTGAGACCTCAGCCGGGCTCTTGGTACGGAAGAGCCGGTGCAGCCGCCGGGCCGCCCGGCGGAAGGCGTCGTCCAGCTCACCCCCGGAGGAGCTCTCCGCCTCGCTCTCAGTCCCACTGACCACCACACAAGCACTGTGGGCCACGCGGCCAAACTTGCTGCTCACCTGACAGGTGTAGCGGCCGGCGTCCGCCCGGCCCAGGCCCGTGACCAGCAGGGAGCAGGTGCCGTCGCTAAGCTGGTCGATGTGGTGGTGCCCACCGTCCGCCAGCTCCATGCCATCCTTCAGCCAGCGGGCACGTACGTCCGCCTTGCTGGACACCACACACTCCAGACGCAGGACATCCCCCACCTGTGCCTCGGTGTCCCCGAACGTGCGGGAGAACACAGGTCCCTCCTGCTGCTTCATCTCCTTGCGGACCTTGTAGCCCTTGAAGGCAGCCTGGATCTTCACGGCTGCCTTGTCCATGGATGGGTCACTCAGGTCGCCCGCTGGTGGGCGAGTGGCCGCTGGCTGGTCCTGATGCTTCTGTGGCTTCCCAGGTAGGACTGTGGGGACCCCAGCCTGTGCACACAGGGAAGGTGGGGAAAGCGAGGCCCGTGACAGGGAAAGGATGGTGCAGGGACAGCTGGGGCAGGGCTGGAAGCAAAGCCCAGGGCTCCCCCCCGCTCCATGAATCTGTACGTCACACCACTCTGCTTCCTGCCCTCCTGCAGCTGCTTAACCTACGGGTGCCTAGTGAGTCCTATGGCCTCCGAGATGGAGGCCCACCCGCTGAAACCACTTGAAGGGGTCAGCCGGACAGAGACTGACGGGTTGTGAGACAGAAAGACTAGTTTCAGCTCCTAACAGCCAGCTGGATGCTGGACGGGTGGACAGGTGCACAGGAGGAAGGCTGTGTAGATGGGTAAGTGGGGGATGGAGTGGTTCTGACGGATGGGTGGGGGATGGGTGAGTGGGGACGGGCGGGTTGATGGTGGATAACTGGTGAAGATCTGAGCCATCCAGGCCTCTCCTTGCAGGTCACACTGGACACTCACCTTGCTGGCCAGTGGTGAGGTGCTGGGCCTCCCAGCCTTCTTGAGGTAGGTAACCAGGGAAGGAGTGCCTGCCCGGGACTCATCGTCAGAGCTGGTATGTGAGAGGTCAGCCTCGCCAGTTCGTGCCAGCTCATCTGCTGTGGAGTAGTCCTCCGAGAGCTCAGGGGCTGCTTCCTCTGCCTCCTGTCGCAGACGCTGCAGGCGACCGTCCTCCTCGGGCAGCTCACTGATGGAGTCCAGCGTGGGCTCACGGCTCATGCGGCGCTTCCGGGCCAGGGCCTCCCACAGCAGGTGCAGGTCGCCCTCCTGGGCTGCCTCAGGGGGGAGGCTGGGCTGTGCAGGGGTCTCATCCCCGGACCCGGGGGTCAGCACCACTGAGAATGACAGGAGACTGGTCAGCAGGTGGGGGTGGGGGATGACAAAACCTTTACCCCAGGCTGGCCTCAGCTGTGACTGTGATTCTCCTCAGTAGACCAGAGAGCGCTGAAGGCCCAATCTTTACACGGTTTTGAGGCTCTGAACTGCCCTGTTGCTCTCAGCTTCCTTGATGAGGCCAGACCTCAACCTATATCAGGCCCCTGCAGAAGAGGAGTGAGCCCAAGGACAGGGCCAGAGTCAGGGAAAGTGCAGATGCCTCAGAGTGTGAGGGGTTCAGAGCAAGTGGGGGGGGAGTGATGGGGGAGGAGTCAGAGCACAGAGGGAGGGAGTCAGAGTGGGGAGGTCAGTGCACGGAGGAAGGGGGCCAGAGTTGGGGTGGGGTGCTCAAAGTGCACAGAGAAGGGGGTCCGTGGGGAGCCTGGTGGTGGTAGGGGTCTTGCAGTGGCTCAGAGCACAGGGCATGGGGGGTCAAGCACAGAGGAAGGGGATCGGAATGGGGATGCTCATAGTGAGGTCTCAGAGCACAGGCGGTGGGGGACATTTTAGTGTGGGGGCATGAGTTTAGGGGGGAGTGACTCAGTGGAGGACTCAGCATGGCAGTGCTCAGAGCACAGAGTGGGGGACTCAGAAGGAAGGGGGAAGGGAGGTTCAGAGGACAGAGGCGGGAGAGCGCAAGGGACCAGCAGTGGGTAGGAAGGCATGTGTTGGCCAGCGTCCTGCTCAGGTATCAATGTGACCTGAGCTGCCACCTTGTGAATAAGCTGACCTACGAGGCTCTGCATTTCCCCACCTGTCCTCGGTATTCTTTGGTGTGAGGCAGGCTCCCCAAGAGGACCCCCTGCCCTTCCACCCCCCACCAGAGCTGACGAAGAGGAGGGGCCGGCTCACTCCCACACCCCAGGGCTCTCATGCCTTGGCTGGGTCCCGAGGACGCACCCTGGAAAGTGGCAGCTGCAGGGGAGGTGGGGTCCTGGGTGCGGCGGCAGCGGTACTCGCCCTGGTCCTCCGCCGAGAATCCCCGGATGACCAGCGTCTGCTGCTGACCCCGGCAGAGAACCTGGAAGCGTCCGCTGGGCTGGATGAGCTCTGTCCCCTTCAGCCAGACGACCTCACCCGCCTCAGTGACCTCGCACTCCAAACACACGTCCTCACCGGCAACCACCTGCCGGCTCTCGGGAGCGGGGTGCGTGGGAGCCGGGGGCACGGGAGCGGGGCACGCGGGAGACCCCGGCACGGGAGCTGGCGGTGCAGGTTCAGGCTCCTGGGGCTCTGCGGGAAACGATGCCACTTCAACAAAGGCGTGCCGGGGGCCCTGCAGCCTGGGGAGACCTCGAGCACTCCAGGCGGACCTCACCCTTCCCAACCGTGGGGAGCTCAGCGACTCACCCAGTCTCACTGTCTGCGGCAGGTGCACGGGCTCCCCAGCCCCCGCTGGGCCCACAGCTGCCACGCGGAAGCGGTAGGTCTCCCCGGGGGCCAGGCCATCCACCACGCACTCCGGCCCGGGCACCAGTTCATGGCACAGGCGCCACTCGCCCGTGGCGGCTGCCTTCATCTCCACACGATAGCCGCAGAGACCGCCGCCACCGTCGCTTGCGGGTGCCACCCATGACAGCGTCACGGAGCGGCCTCTCCTCGCCACCACCTCGGCGTCCTCTGGGGGATCCGGGATGCCTGCAGGGAGTGGGGACTGGTCCATGGAGGCTCCTGGTCGGCTCCCGCACGTGCCCCGCCGGCCTGCTTTGGGTCTGATCCTGGGGTGTGCAGCGGGCGCCAGCGGCCCTCCCCCAAGGCGGGTGAGCCTCTGTGCTCAAAGGCCAAGACCGTCTGCGGGAGCCAAGGGAGACTGCGTGCCCTGAGCCAACCAGGATGGGGGCCAGAGAGAGGCCCCCCGCAGCCTCCAGGACTGGAACAGTAGAGCCCTCCCCATGACCTGAACCAGGCGACCCGAGTCACCCACCCAGTACGGTGAGCCGAGCAGAGGCCACGGCATCGCGGGCGGCGAAGGTGACCTCGCCAGCATGGTGCATCTGGGCACTGCGCAGCAACAAGGCATGGTGGCTGCCCTCCGCGGTGACCATCCAGTCAGGGTCGTCCGGCTGCACAGCAGCCCCGTTGATGTACCAGGTCGCCTCGCCCACCGGCACCGCCTCGCTGAGCGTGCAGGTGAAGTGGGCTTGCACCCCGGCTCGCACCGTGGCGTCTTGCAGCGGCTCCAGGACGTCCAGGCGCCAGCCTGTGGGTGGGGGCGGTGTGGGTAAGAGCAAGGGCGCCGGAGCGGCCTGGGGTTTATGCAGTTTTACCAAGCATGCCACCAGGTTCCTACAGCCCTGCTGCCTCCCCCTGGCGGAGGATGAGACCCAGCCCAGGCAGGAGGGGCCTCAGAGACCAGACCCCAGCCCCGCAGGTCCGTGGCGCAGGGTCCCATGGTGGGGCTGGTCTTAGAGACCTGGTCCCAGCCCTGCACGTCCATGGCTCGGGGTCCTGGGCATGGGCGGGGGGTCTCAGAAACCCGGTCCCAGCCCCGTACGTTCCTGGCATGGGGTCCTGTGGGGGGCGGGTCTTGGAGTCCTGGCCCCACCCCGTGGCCCCACCCCGCCCCCACCAGGCCCGAGGCTTTGCCGGGGTGCTCTCCGAGATACACGCCCTGCCTCCGCCCTCCGCGCCCCTGACCTCTGACCGTGAGGAATGCGGACGTCCCCACGTCCCCCGCCAGAAAGGTGACCCGGCAGCTGTCCTGCGGCCGCAGGTTCTTGAGCAGCAGCAGGTGACGCAGGCCATTGTCGAAGTAGACCACCTCCGCGCTCTCTGAGCTGTGCACGGGCTCATCGTCCAGCAGCCAGCTGTGGGCAGCCGCCTCGGGGCGCGACAGCTGGCACTCGAACAGCGCCTCGCCACCTTCCAGCGCGTCCACGTTCTCCAGCCCACGCAGCACTGTGTTGCTGGCTGCGGGGAAGCGGGCAGCTCAGGGCTCGCCGCGCAGTCCTGACGGAGGGCCTCCCCCCATCACAAAGGGCCCCGGGGCTGATAGGAAACAGCCAGTGGAGGGCAGCATATGGCGTCCACGCGGGGCCCCACCCACTCCCACACCCTAGGGGCTCTGGTGGCCAGGGCTGGGGTCTCCACACCAGACCGGTGAGATGGCTCACAGGTGTTTCCAAGGCTCCACAGCCAGGCTCAAACCCCCACCCCACCCCACCCCCACTGCAGAACGGGGCTCTGCAAATGCTCCCCTTTCTCCCTGTCCCCAGCCATGCTGAGCTGCTCCCCTCACACACACACACCCAAGACGCACCTCTGCCCTAATCCCCTACCCCTCTCTAGTCCTCCTGCGCACACAGGACACCAGTCTTGATAAGTGGACACGTGGTTTTTGTGTAAGCTGTGAGCTCAGGCTGGGCATGCCTGGCCCCAACTCCAGCTCAGGGCCTGGCTGCCCTGGCTTGCCACCTGCCACGGCCCATTCCCACAACACACCACCCGCCGGGCAGTGATGTCAGTAGGAACAGTCTGAGTGGGCTTCCAGGAGGAGGAGGAACCTCAGATTGGGCAAGCCTGAGCCAGGCAAGAGGACTGACAAGAGGGACGGCAAGGAAGGAGGGACTCATGAGGGGCAGCAGGGACCTGGATGCCAGGCGCCAGGTGGGGTCCTGGGAGTGGGGTGCATGTCAGGCCAGACAGGAGTGCCAGGCGACCCAGAGCTGGCCTGGATGCCGGGAAGGCTGTGACCGTGACCCACAGGACCTCAGATGCTGACCTAAGGGAGGGGGGCAGGGCAGCCAGGTGCACGGCCCCAGCGGCTCTCTGGGGTACGCACTCGAATGAAACCTGTTCCCAGCCCTTGTGCTTAATCCCAACTTGTCCCCAGGGTCCACCCTGCAGGCAAGAGTGCCCGCTCTGGACAAGGAGCCCCAGGGAGAGAAAGGGGCAGAAGAGAGCACCAGAGAACCAGTCTATGTCCCTCTTATGGCCACCTTCCTGGCCCTGGGCTGCTGGCAGCACAGACCAGACATCTCCACATCCCAGCCCCTTTCCTCCCCGCATCAGAATCAGTGGCACCAACAGGAGTTATGTCCATGTCTGTACTGGGCTCAGGTGGCCAGGCGGGGGCTGCTCTTAACCATTCGTGGGGGAGCAGGGCCACACCTGCCATCACTGCTGGCCCTCAGCATCCTTAGTTCCCATCCCAGATGTACCTGCTGCTTTGCCTGGATAAAATCCCAGACTTCAAAGCAACGGTGAGCCCCTGAGCCCTCGCCTGTCCTCTCCTGCTTCTTGGGGCTCTCTTGTCCGCACTCCCTGCCCAGATGCCCTCATGCCTCGGGCCCATCCCCACCTCCCTCAGGCCTGGGCTCCCACGGGGCCCCTCCCCATAGCTGCTGGTGGCCATCTCCCCTTCCTACAGCCCCCACAGGGATGGCCCCCTGAACAGGGGGATTGCTGTCTCTTCTGTGCCTTGCTCCCAGAAACCAAAAACAAAGCATTTTAAAAACTAAGTTCTGTTGAGAGTGAAGGGGGGGCGCCCCATCTGGCAGGTGGCCCCTGACCACCGCCTCCAGCCTGCAGCTCACTCATCCCCAGGAGGCGTTCAGATTTTCCCAAAGGGGAAGTGTCAGCAACCAAGAGATGTCCCCCAGACAGGGGCTGCCGTCCGCACCCCACTCCTCGTTCCCAGAGCGTGTCCTTGCTGTGCTGCAGTGGGGACACAGGCTGGGGGGCCCTTGGGGGGCCGGCCTGGATGGGAGAACAGCTAAGACCCCAGGCTCAAGGAGCGCAGCCCAGCACCGCATCCTGTCCCAACAGGCCGCTCTGGGAAAGGTGGAGCCCTGCCTGCTGGACCCTGTCTTTCTGGCACGGTCACATGGCCTCAGCTGTCACCGCCGGCCTGGGCTGTCACCGCTGGCCTTGGCAGCACTCGGGACGGTCCCAGCCATGCCAGAGCCGTGCAAGGCCTCACCTTGCACATGGAGCAGGGCTGCCACGCGGGTGCCCGCAGCCTCACAAGAATAGATGCCACTGTCGCAAGGCAAGGCTGGCCTGAAGGACAGCCTGGCCACGGTCCAGTCCTGCTCTATGAAGACACGGCGCCCGTCAGCGCACACCTCCTGCTCGTCCATCTTCCACGTGGCCTGCACGGGCCGCGAGTACTGGCAGAGGAGCTCTGCCGGGCCGCCCTCCTCCACCACCAGGTCCTGCATGGCACTGACCACCTCCACCGTGGGATCTGTCGGCCGACACCCCAGGCACGCGTCAGCCAGAGCGGCCCGGCCGCACCCCACCCGCCCTGTGCTCTCAGCAGCTCAAGCAAGCGTGGGGCTGTGGCAGGAGGGGCCCCGTCCCAGCGACCTGAGCCTCACCCCTGCCCACCACCATCCCCGGCGGCTCCCCTAGGCCCCCCCTCATCCCTCTTATCCCCAAAGCCCTACCTCCCTCCCCACCCCCTGGCCCAGGCCACACTTCCCCTCAGCAGGGACACGACACCTGTCCTCAAAGCCCCCAGGCCCTGCTTGGGGTCTGTGAACTCTGCTGGTCACACGCAAGCCCCGCCCCCCAGCCCAGCTCGTCCCTGCTCCAGGGGCCTCGCTAACCTCCTTGGGGTCCCCATCCCCTCTTAGCCTGCTGAAATCCTACTCAACAAATGGGTCACCCCAGGGCGTGGGTGCGTGTCCATGTGCAATCTGCCCTGGTCCTGGGGTAAGAGTGCCAGGCAAAGGCTTGCTGAGTGGTTAGATGCATGGGACCAGCTTGAAAGGACAGCACGGGAGAACCTCTCAGCTGTCCCAGGAGCTCCTGACACCCCCACAGATGTCCCTCCCAGAGAGCCTGCAGCAAGGGAGGCAGCAGCTAGCAGGGACGGTGCAGGCTTTGCCGAGGACTGGGAAGGGGGCTCTCCCCTCCCGACTGCCCTCGTGGGCTCCTCAGAGGGCTGGCCCAGGCAGGAAGCAGTGTCTGGGCCCCACGGGTGGCTGAGGAGAGGCATGCCTTACAGCTTCACCACTCCCCAGGCCCACCTTCTCTCCTACAAGTCAGGAAAGCAGACCTCCCGTGTGCCTGCCCTGTCCACGTCCTGGGGCCAGCCCCAGACCTGCCGCCCAGGGAACCCGCAGCAAGCATGCCAAGTCAGTGGGTGCAAAAGCGCCAGCTCAGGGCGGGGTCCCGTCGGCCAATACCTTTGACCAACAGCTTGGCCGTGGAGACCAGGGCCCCTGCACGGTAGGTGATGGTGCCCGAGTCGGCAACCCCCAGGCCCGAGAGCGTGAGGGAGTGGAAGGTCCCATCACGCACGGAGATGGCGCTCTGGGGGCTGTCCTGCAGTAGGGTGCCATCCAGCCACCAGCGGGCCTCCGGCCCACCGGCGCGGGACACCTCACAGGAGAACGTGGCCACCTCCCCCGCAAAGACGTCCACATTCTGCAAGCCACGTACCAGGCATGGGGCCGCCTCTGCGCAAGAGGGCAAAAGGAGGGGGGCTGGGCATTCTGGGTCTGTGGCACCAGCCTGGGGTCTGAGTCTACAGATCCACCCCGGCCAGCTGGCCTGCCTTGCTTGCAGAATGAAACCCAGAGACCGTGCACGGCAAGACCATGGAGGACCGGCTCAGCGCCCTGCAACTGACACCCCCGTTGGCACACAGCCACTTTCACCAAAGGAGGCTGATGACCTGCCTCCATGCCCTTTTCAGAAGGCACAGCGCACATGCCCTAAGCCGCCAAACTGGGGTCTTTGTGGGGTGGAGTGTGGGGTAAGGAGAAGCTGTGAGGCCTACCGCTCTGGTGTGGTGTGGGATCTCCCTTGGGACATAAGCTTTCCATCCCTGGAGAGATGGAAGCAGGTATCTCTCCCATTCCCAGAGCTCCATCTATGCAGAGGTGCCCTAAGGTGCCTCTAGCCCTCAGATTCCCAGGCCCTAATGCTCCATGGCAACTGTTCCCCTGCCCTGTCACACAGTGGGGCCTGAACCCAGGGCCTTCCCAGATGCAGATGATACCTGCTCTGTACCCCTGTACCCACCATGGCTGACCCCTCCCCCAAAAGGCCCTCCATACCCTTCCTGAGGCCGCGCCATTGATGCCCTAGGCCCCACGTGCCCTTCCCCTCTCTCCCAAAAGTGCGCACCTGACTCCATCCCCACGCTACCCCACCAGTGCCCCATTCCCGTCTCCAGCAGAGTTCCCGAGTTCATCCACATGCCACCTGTCGGGACACTCAACACATCCCCATGCTTATGGTCCTCCCCACAAGGCCATGGGCAGGATACTCCAGCTGGGGTCACCAGGCCAAGACTGGCCAAGGCACAGCCCTCAGTAAAGCCCGCAAGGCCCAACCCAGTCCCATGCTGCCCCCTCACAGATGCCCAACCTGACGAACATATGAGAGCCTTCCTGGACCCACTCTGCTCGGGACGACCAGGATACTACCCCTCTCCCACCACTCAACTTGAGGGCACTGCTCTCTGGAGCCTTTCCCAGCCCCACAGTTCACAGAGCTGTCTGTCCGCCCTCTGAAGATCTGGTGGAGAGACCAGGGGACCTGAGGTTCAGGACTCATTCTGTCCCTGTGTCCAACTCCCACAGCGGACTGGGGACTCCCTGGGGCAGAGCTGCATCTGTCCCCTCTCTAAGTAGATGATGGTGAGGCAGATGGTGGATAAACGTACAGACGCACAGATGGATGGTGCGTGAACAGATGGACGGACGGCGGAGGGAGGGATGAACAGGTAGATAAGTGGACAGACAGAAAAATGAGTGGTAAATGGACAAGGGGATGGATCGCTAGATGAACGATGGATAGTGCATGAGTGGTTAGATGCATGGGACCAGCTTGAAAACTGGGAGTAGGGAAAAACCTCTCAGGGTCAGGCACTGAGATGACCAGCTCTGGGGACAAAGTATAACCCAAGATGAAAGTCTTCAGATACTGCCTACAGGCCTGGAACCTTATATGGTCTTGTCTAAACCTACATGCATCATAGTTGCCCCGCTGCATCAGCACTTGGAAATCTGTTGGATGCACAGCTGTGTATCAGTGTAGAAATGAGCACATGGACTGGTGTCACAACAGTCATTGCATGGAGGGTGGAAATCCCAAAGGCCCTGCCTCCACCGCAGGGCCCCGGCCCACAGCAGCCAGCCTCCCCACCTTCCTCCTGTGGACAGCGCTCATCCCATAGTGGGATCCCAAACACACAAGAATGTCTCAAGCTGACATGCACTGGTCCATCTCGTTGGGCTTCTGGTCTGTGGCTTTAACCACGAAGGGGTGGAAAATGGTCACCCCAAAGCAAGTTCACCTCTGGGAGGCTTGGGTTTCTGGTCACACCACCTCCAAACAGCTCTCTGAGTAGGGAAATACAGACACCCACAGGCAAGGGGCTGCTTAGGGGAGGGGGCTGCCCACCTGTGACCTTTAACTGGGCCTCCGAGCTACATGAGCCCACTTGGAAACTGATGGTTCCAGCATCCTCTAGGGTCACCTGAAGGAGAGAGGGGGTCTCAGCCTGGAAGCCCTGCTCCCACCATCTCCACAGGCCCCCAACCCTGTGTTGGGACCTTCCCTCACCCACACGCCTGGGAGCACCATGGCTGGGGACAGGTCCCAGGAAACCCACCTTGTGCAGGGTGAGGAGATGGAGCGTGCCATCTTCCACAGTGATGTCATTCATCTCATTGGCCTGCAGTGGTACCCCTCCCAGGGCCCAGCGGGCCTCCTGGCCAGAGGCCCTGGACAGCTGGCACCTGAAATGGGCGTCCTGGCCCTCGCTGAGCTGCAGGTCCTGCAGCGGCTCCAGAATGGTCACCTCAGGGACTGCACGGTGGGAGACACAGTGTCGGCCTCCCAGTCAGGAGTGCCTCTCAATCCCCAGGGTCTGCCGCAGCACCCCACCCCAACTCCGAAGACAAGCGCGTGAGGCACCACTCCATCCCAGAGTCGCCCAGCACAGGGCCGGCTCCCCACCGGTTTCCCACCCACAAAGGCAGGGATCCAGGGACCTGTGTCTGGCCCACAGAGGGCCCGAACCCCCAGCCCAGAGTATGCAGCGAGCCTGCCGGGCCCCGCTACCTCGGACAGTGAGCTGGGCAGAGGACGTGTGGACGCCCACGTGGAAAGAGATGGTGCCTGCATCCTCGGGGGTCACGCCCGTCAGCCGGAGAATGTGGGTGCGGCCTCCCCGCACCGACACTTCTGTCACCGCATTGTTCTGCAGCGGCAGGCCCTGGAGACGCCACTCCACGTTGGCGACTCCGTCCCGTGACACCTCACAAGCGAACTCCACGTCCCCGTCCACCTGCACCTCGGCATCCTCCAGCCCCCGCACGATGGTCACCTCCGGCTCTGGGGGGTAGGCCACAGGTCCCTTTACCAGCCAGGCCAGAACACCCGAGCCAACCTCCCAGTCCTCCTCCTCCAGGAAACCCTCCTGAATATCTTCACACTCTTCTCGTCCCAGCCCCTTTGTGCCCCACACGCTCGTTACCGTGACACTCAGCTCCTAGACGGGGCTGGGGGTGCCTGTTGGGAAGGAACGTGAGCGCTTGTGTGGTGCTGGGCTCCACCCACCCCGTGGCCCGCCCTGCTCGGCCAGGACAGCAGGAAGGCAAGCCCTTTAAAACAGGCGGGGCTCCATGAGGATGACCAGGCCAGGCTGCCCGCCTGTGGGCTTGGGATGCAAGGCAGTTTCGGGTGGGCAGGACGCAGTGTGTTTCCCACTGTGAATACTCCTCTCTAGGAGCACCTACGCCAGAGGGAAGTGGAAAGGAGGAGAGCCAGTAACCCCAGGGCCCTCGGAACAATACCCAGACAAGGGCCTGGCCTTAACGGGAGCAGCCACAGAGCAGCCACAGGAGGAGAGTGGGTGGCAGGGAGGGCTCACCTCTGACCCTGACAGCGGCCACGGTTTTCTGGCCGCCGGCAAGGCAGACATACTCGCCCGTGTCCTTGGCCTCCAGCCCGTGGATCAGCAGCTCACATGTGGTCCCCAGGCGCCTTATCTCATATTTGGGGCCCCCGTGCAGCTCCACACCCTCCTTGAGCCACTGCACGGGGACACCGGTCTCTGTCCCGCTCAGCTCGCAGCGCAGCCGGGCCACACTGCCGGCATCCTGCTCCGTGCTCTGCAGCTCCTCCCGGAATACGGGCCTAGGGGCTGGGGGGCCAGGGAGGGGCGCTTAGGGCTGCCCAGCAAGGCAACCCCTCGCGCCCGACCGGGGACTGAGGGCCCAGCAGAGGGCAAGGCGCTGCTGGGCAGCTCACCTCGGATGGAGAGCCTAGCAGTGCTCTGCGAGTCGCCCGCGTTGCAGGTGTAGTGGCCGGAGTCCTCCGGCTCCGCGCCCCGCACCAGCAGCTCCGCCGTCCTGCCCTCCTGCACCATCTGGTATTTGGCGCACGGGAAGAGCTGCAGAGACCCTTTCCGCCACTCCACGCTGGCGCCCTCTCGGCTCAGCTCGCAGCGCAGGCGCGCCGTGGCGCCCTCGTCCACCTGCTGGGCCTGCAGCTCCCGCAGGAACCGCACAGGTGCAGCTGCGGGGACGCAGAGAGCGTGAGCGCAGGCGCCGGGCCGGGAGCGCGGGGGCGCCGGCGGGGGCGCAGCGGGCGCTGCTGTGCGTTGGGAAGAGAGTGGGGCGGGGCCCCAGGGTGCCTGCGGGGGTGCGGGGTGCGGGGTGCGGGGGCAACCGCCAGTCGGGAAGGCAGCACAGGCACTCGGCTGAGGTTTCTGGGGAGGTGGGACTAACCGCTGGGGCGCCACGGCGGAGCAGGAGGGGCCAGCTGCTAAGGGTCTGGGGGGTGGGAACCACGGGGGCGTGGCTACGGGATGTAGGGGCGTGGCTCCAAGGTGGGGGCAACGGGGCGTGGCTACTAGGAGCAATGTGGACCTCGGGGGTGTGGCTACGGGGTGCAGGGTCGGGGCCAAAGGGCCGTGGCTACGGGTGCAGAGGGGTACCGAAGGGGCGTGGCTATGGGTACAGGGGCATGTCTACACTGCGCAGAGAACTGCAGGGGGGTTTCAAGTGGGACCTTCAAGGGTGTGTTTACAGCACTGGGGTGCGTGCCGCAGGGGTATGGCTATGGGTGCAGAGGGGAACCGCAGGGGCCTGATGGTGGAGGGAATCACAGGGGTGCAGCTGGGACGCCACGGGTAACCTCAGGATCTCAGCTACTATGGTGGGGACAGTGAGGGCTGAGCTTGCTGCCAGGCCTGACATGTCCCCCGTGGGATGCCCAGGGTGGTGCTGCAGCCCCGAGGCACACCCCAAAGCACAGGGGTCCTGCATGGTGCATGGGTCTCGCCCTGGGGCCCACCTGTAACAGTGAGGGTGGCACTGGTGGCCTGGGGTCCACAGGTACATGCGTATTCGCCTGTGTCCTCCCGGCGCAGGTCCCGCAGTACAAGCTCCACTATGGGGCCCCGCTGCCGAGGCTCCCTGCGCCCGTCAGGCTGCACCTCTAGGCCGCCCTTGCTCCAGACCACGGCGGCGTTGGGCTGGGACAGTTCACACCGCAGGGTGACCGAGGCCCCCTCCTCAGCCTGCAGGCTCTGCAGGGGCTCCCTGAATACCACCTGTGGGGCTGAAGGGTAGGCGGGGGGCCGAGAGACACAGGATCAGTCCCGCCATGGGCGTCCCAACATACAACGGGACACACTGAAGGCGGACAAGTTGGGCAGATTGGGGTGAGGTGAGAGAGAGACACGAGGGGAGAATTCTGTCCCCACCACCAGGAGAGACCCCGTGAAGACATGAGGATGAGGCCAGTAACCAGACAAAGGACAGAGGACAGTAGAACACAGGACAGAGGAGGGAAGTACCTCTGACAGCCATAGAAGATGCAGAGAAACAGAGACAAGCACAGGCACCCACAGACTCCATGTGGTCACACATGGTCTTTACCCCTGACGGTCAGCGTGGCCGATGTCCTCTCCTGCCCGCACACACACGAGTACTCCCCAGCATCTGCCACGGCCAGGCCACGGATCTCCAGCTCACACGTGGTCCCATCCTGCCTCAGGCTGACTCTGTCCCCAGCTCTGAGGGTCTCGGACCCCTTCTTCCACTCCACGGGGGCCTCCTTGCTCAGCTCACAGCGCAGCGTGGCCGTGGCCCCTTCCGTGGCCTCCTTGCTTCTCATTCTCCCTATGAACTCAGCAGGTGAGGCTGCAACAGGGCCGACAGAATGCCATTTTCATCCTCCCACAGGGACAAAAGGGGTTTGTGGGCAGGCAGGTGGGGCTGCTTACACTTCACAGTGAGCGTGGCCATGGTCCTCTGGTCCCCGAAGCAGCAGGAGTACGGCCCGCTGTCCTGGGGCCGCAGGTCCCGGACCACTAGCTCGAGCACCGTGCCCTCCTGATGCAAACTGTACTTGGGCCCAGGCCGCAGAACCTGCTCTCCACGGCGCCACTCCACGGGCGTGACCACAGACGACAGCTTGCAGCGCAGAGTGGCAGCCCCGCCCTCCAGCACCTCCAGGTCCTTCAGCCCCTCCCGGAAGCGTGCTGGCCGAGCTGTGGGCAGGCACACGCTCAGTTCCCACCCACTCCTGCATCCCAGCCGGGGCCCTATGGCTGCCAGCAGCTGGGGACACAGCAGCCAGCAGGAGATGAGAGAAGGGCAGACCGGCATGAACGGTGTGCCCCCAAGTTCACAGGCCGGAGCCCCACCGCCCAGAACCTCAGGGCAACTGTGACTGAACAAGGGGTCTTTACGGAGATAATTAAGGTAAAAGGGGCCACAGGGTTGAGCTTGACCCTGCCAGTCACGTAATCCCACAGGCGGAGACGAGGACACAGACACAGACGGACAACAGTGCAAGGACACAGGGAGAAATCGGCGAGTCCATGCCACGAGAGAGGCCCCGGGAGAAGCCGGTGGTGCCCATGCCTGGACCTGGGACTTCCCAGCCCCGGGATGGGAAGACTCTCCATGTCTGTCGCTGGACCACCCAGCCTGTGGCATGTGTTAAACAACCCATGCTAACCGAGCAGGGGGAGACCAGCCAAGTCCAAGGGAGGGGACACAGGGGTCAGGACAAGACACAGGCACGAAGCAAGAAGCAGGCAGCTTCTCAGAGACGACAGGGGCGGAGGAGGACACCTCCAGCAGCAGCAAAGCCCTGAGACGGAGAGGGGGGACGCTGGGGTCCCAGGGCCCCCCACCCTGAGATGGAGTGTGAGCCCAGGAACTTACCGTGGACCCTGACAATGGAGCTGGTCCAGGAGCCCCCAGACTCACACTTGTAGCGCCCACCGTCCTGCAGGGTGGCTCCAGTAATGACCAGCTGGGCCCGGTGGCCCTCCTGGCTCAGCTGGCAGCGAGCCGATGGCCGCAGGGCCTTCCCATCCTTGGTCCAGGACACAGGGCTGTCCGAGGTGGTGGTGTCACAGATCAGGGTCAGGTCCTCCCCCTCCGTGACAGTAGCGTCTGTGAGCTCACGGGAGAACACACTCAGCTTTTCTGGGGGTACAGAGAGACACACAGGATGCTTGGGGACTCCTGCAGACAAAGCAGCTCCCTAGCTAGGTGTGCAGCTGCCCCCTCAGGCCAGGGCCACTCATGGGCTGCCAGGGGGATGAAGCAGGCCTGGCACAGCGCAGTCCACCCTGTGGGGACGGGGGACCACCCTCCAACAGCCTACCTTGCCGTGGTCCACAGGCTGGGCACCATCCCCATGAGCCCCAGGGCCGTGCTGTGTGTGTGGCCAACATCTGCCCAACCCCACGGCTGCCCCTTAGTCTGTGGACTGGGCCCCCCACGGTGCGGAGCACACAGCCCACCTGTGATCTGCAGTGTGGCTGAGGCCCGCTGGTCTCCCGCCTCAAAGTGGATGGTGCCTGAGTCCTTGAGAGCCAGCTGCCGAAGGGTGAGCACATGGTACCCGCCGGGCTGAGCCTGGATCTCATTGAGCTCATTGGGGTGCAGGGGCGTCTGATCCAGGAACCACTGCACAGGCCCGTAGTCGGCGGGGGAGATGCGGCAGGAGAAGGTGGCGGACGAGCCCTCGCGCACCTCCACATCCTCCAGGTCCTCTGTGATGAGCACCCTCTGGCCTACAGGGTGCAGACCGTCAATCAGGGTCCCCTGCAGCCAGCTGCCGCCGGAAATAGGCCGTCCCCACTCCCGGGTCGCTCGTCCCATGGGCCGTCCCCACTCTTCCACCACTCATCCCATGGGCCATCCCCGCTCCCAGGCTGCACGTCCCGTGGGCCGTCCCTGCTCCTGGGCCACATGTCCCACGGACCATCCCCTTTGGCTCCGGCATAGGGGACCAGGCTGCGCATCCCATGAGCCATCCCAGCTGGCTCCGGCATGGACAATCAGGCTCACACCAGCACACAGGAAGGGCTCACAGCCATAGCTCCACAAATTTGCACCAGGTCCCACCAGCAGGGCCTCAGAGACGAAGCCACCAAGGCCCTACTCCCAGGAACAGGGAAACCGAAGTTGGTCTCAGAGGGCCTCCGAGCCCCCTCCAGACCCAGCTCCCAGCCAGCCCCCTACAGGCCAGGACCCCGCCGGGCCTCACCCTGCACCAGGAGCCGGGCCTGGGAGCAGGCCTGGCCGATGTCGCAGGTGTAGGTGTCACTGTCTGCCTTGGTCAGGGCACTGATGGTCAGCTTCAGGGTCAGGCCATCCTGGCTGGGTGTGTGCTTCCCTGAGGCAGGCAGCTCCGTAAGCCCCTTACGCCAGGTCACCACGGCGGCAGGCCGCTCAGTCCTACACACAAACACGGCCGTGCCCTCCTCCGTCCCCTGCACATCAGCCAGCTCCTCCGTGAAGCGGTTTGCCTTTTCTGGGAGGGGTGGGAAGGGGTGGGGTGAGAGCTAGGCGGACCCTATGCCGGCCCCTTGGACAGGGAGCAGCCCCCACTGTGGGCAGCTCTCCTGCTGAGGCCATGGGGACCCCTCCCCTGGTCTCTTGTGGGGTCACCTTCCACACGGAGGCTCGCTGTGCTCTTGGAAGCCTCTGTCTCACACGTGTACTCGCCGGAGTCCTTGGGCGAGACAGCATGGACCACCAGCATGGCCCGAGGACCGTCCACGACGAGGTCGTACTTCTGACTCTTGCGAATGGCCTTCCCGTCCCTCAGCCAGCGCACTGGGGTGCCAGCCCGGGACAGCTCACAGCTCAGCACCACATCCTCGCCCGGAGCAGCCTTCTGGTCTTCCAGGGGCTTCACGATGTCCGCGGGCCTCTCTGAAGAGGGCAGGGCAGCCACCATAAGACAGGGCCAGGCCCCAGCCATGCTTAGGGTGAGGGTGGGGCAGGTGACCATGGGGACCTTGGGCCCTGGAAATCAGGAGCCAGCGTGGTCATGGGGAGGGAGCTGGGAAGAGGACACAGGAGGCCACAGACTCTCACACCTCGGCCCCCTTCAGAGCCTGGGACTGAAAGCATGGCCGCTGGCAGCAAGAGCTGGGGACTGGGTGTCACCACCTGCACCTGAATTTGATTTATGCCAGGTGCATGAATTCAGGGACAGCAGCAGCGGCTCGCCAGCTCAGGGAGCCATGAGCCTGGGGGCTCCCATAGCTGTCGGACCACACACCAAAGACCAGAAGCCCTGCTTCTGCCCAGAGTGGGAAAGAGGGAGCTCCTTCAGATGACTAAGCCCCAGCCCCCAACAGTGTCTCTGGGTCTCCAACCGGGGAGCTGCCCAAGGGGACAGTCCCCAGCAGCACCTCATTCCAGCCTGAGGCCCCACAGTAACCCCAGCCCCATGGAGAAAGGTGCCCATCCCTGCCCCATGCCCACCTCGGACGATGAGGGAGGCCTTGGAGGTGAGGTCCAGTATGGAGAACATCACCTCCCCAGCGTCACTAGGAGCAGCGTCTTGGACAGCCAGGGTGTACTTGCGGCCCTGGCGGCTGGCCCGGAAGCGGCCCGAGCCACCCACCGTCTTCCCACCCACGGTCCACGTGGCCACGTCGCCGGTGTTCTCGTGGGACAGGACACACTCGAACGTGCAGCTCTGGCCCTCCAGCACCTCCACCATCTTCAGCCTCTTGGTGATGCCCACGTGTAGGTCTGTGGGCCACAGGAGATGGCGGTCGCCCCAGGCCAGGCTCTTGGACCCCAGCCCGTCCCCTACCCTGGTCTGGCACTGTCAAGCCCAGAGCTGCCCCAGGCCAGACCCCATGACAGCTGAAGCCTCACTCCCACCCCCTGCAGCCCTAATCCTGGGGGGCCTGCTGTCACTTCCAGTCCACTACAGGACAAGCACTGTCCACAGTGGTCACAGCTTGAACACTCCAGAAGGCCAAGGACGGGAGTCCCAAATGAAGAGGCCGTCTAGCTCTAGCACAGACTCACCATGCCGCCCTGCCCCCTTCCCTTTCTGTCCTCAAACCCCAGCCAGACCGGCAGGGACCCGCCACAGGGTCCACAGGGTGACCAGGCAGCAGGCCTGGCATGCACACGCAAGTGAGGGAGAATGGGACCGGAGGAGCTGGGCCAGGAGAGCTGTGCACGCACGAGGTCAGGCTCGGGCTGAGAGGGACATCTGCTGTGCTGGGGGTGAGGGGGCCCACGCTGCCCTGCTGACTCCATGGGGAGGCACGTGGCCTGCCAACAACCACCTTCACCAGGCTGTGCCTGTGGCCTGGGAGTCCGTCCAGGGCATCCTACATCTGACATCTTGGCTTCTGCCGCCAGCCACCCCCAAGCCGTGACCCTCATAGCTGCCCACACACAGTCCCTGATGCTGGGGGACGGTCTCCAGCCCCCAGGACTCTATCAGGCACTGCCAGTTCAGTCTCCCCAGCCCTCCCCTTGCTCATCGTCCCTCACCCGCCTGGCCTGTACCTGGGCCTCCTGGGATCACATCCAGCCTACTCCTCCAGGAGCCTGTCCTGACCTCCAGAGCTCTGCAGGGCAACCTCCAGCCTTGGAGAAGGGGTGGGCCCAGGGCAGAGGCAGCCCTCCCCACACACACAGATCTGGAAGCAGCCCCGCGCCCTGAAACTGGTTCCGCCCCAGACCCGGCCCTGCCTCCTGAAAGCAGCTCTGCCCCCTGGAACGGACCCCGCCCCCGGACCCGCCTTGCCCCCTGGACCCGCCTTGCCCCCTGGACGCGGCTCCACCCCCTGGGCCTGGACCTGCCTCCTGGACCCGACCCGGCCCCTGGACGTGGCTCCATCCCCTGGGCTTGGACCTGCCTCCTGGACCCGGCCCGCCTCCCGGACACGGCTCCAGCCCCTTGGGCCTGGACCTGCCTCCTGGACCCGCCCC